TGACTAATTAGATATGAATTATTTGGAAAAATCACTGAGGAAGACAATGGTTACTTCTTTGTTGTCAAAGTCAATTTTAGGTTTTTATGTACTATATACGTTTGTAAGATAATTATAAGTAATTAAGGGTTTACCAATGAATGGTGAGGTTGTAGGGTGAATTGTTAATGACATGAACAATAACAGTGTCGCCTTCATGAACATCGAGGGTTGGACCGGGAAGCTTGTTATTTACCGCGGTAATCATCCGCTGATTGCACAGCCGCGTTACAGTCAGGTTTTGCACCTAAAAGAGATCAAATTGTTTAAGAATTAGATCAAAGAAATGAGAGAACTACAATTAATTGTAATTAAGGGACTCTAATTCAAGCAAAGACGTGCATATTCTATGTATCATACATATATATAGTATTTCCTTGCTAGGAAAGCAGGCAACCTACTATATAGTCTATAGGATTAAATTGCTAAATAAGTAAAATGAGTAAGTTAAAAGATAATTCGTAGAATTTCCATCGTAAAACCCATGGTTTTGAATATGCACAATGCATCAATGAAATAAAAGTGAAAATAAATAGGAAATGGGGAAGTATGATTACAGTAAAGGTGTGTTCCACTACTGCAGCAAAAGAAAATGATGAAGCTAGAAGAACAAACGCGCATATAAGCAAGCACCCAGGGCGTGCCATTCTGCGGGAGCTCGAATAGAGAAGAGATAAGGAAAGAAATTGAGAGAGCAGATGAGATTGTTCTGTTGCGTGTGGGGAATGAGATATGCATAAGAGCATGGATGGCACCTGCTATTTATAGTATTTCAGAAAGGGCGGGGTCTGGTCTTGGTGTTCTTCTAGGAAAGTTGATAATTTAGTTTGCTGGTTATAATTTATACAAAAGAAGGTTCTTTTTATTTTCTTCTATGATATAAATGTCAACAGAAGGTTCTATATTATTAGATACTGATAGGGGAAAAAGGGGGCATCAGGAATTGGCACACGGTTTCAAGGAATTAATGAATTTAACGCCCTTAAGATTGTTCATGATGAAATTAAGGTGCTAACGAACTGATGATTAGAAAATGAAGAGTGATTGATATATATTTTGGTTTAATACACTGCATAACATACTCATTAAAAAATCATTAGTTTTTTGTTTGACATTAAAAACAAACAAGTTTAATGATACAATCATGCACATAAAATATATGAATCGGTTAAATTAACTGTATTTATATTATATTTTTAATCACTAAACCAGAGTATATCAGAAAATGTGTTAAATAGAAAGGTGTATCAATTATTTTTCTTAGAAAATTTTATATTATAGAAGTGTTTGAATTGACTGTTTTAATATAATTGATAGTTAATAATCAATATTTTAACTATTGTTATTTATAATTAATAATATTTAAACCATTCGATTAGTATCAATAGCTGATAATTGATCTCTAACTTTTTAAAACAAGCGCCCCTACTAAAGAAAAAATAAATACAATTGTGTAATTAATGTGACATTGTTAAAAGATTTGATAAAGATTTCCTTTCGAATTTTGGAAGTCACCGTGCACCAGAACTTTCATCATTATCTTAGCAGTTTAAGTTTGGTCATCGAAATTTGGCATAACGAAAAAGCCAGGAAGGACTTAGAATATTGGTTGTTCAAGCAAACAGAAGCACAAAAACCACTTTGAAAAATTTCGAGTATAATTTATGTCAATGATCGCCAACTCCTCTTCCGTGCAAATTAATTATATGCTCCTTTTTCCACAAATGTATATATAATATAATATA